GACTCGGCGAGTCACCGCTGCTGGATGAAACCCTAAGTTTCAAGGGTTTGCACCCTATTTAAACCCTCATTCCGCCCCAACTCGTCCCCATTCACCCCCAGAACTCCCCCAACATCGTTTTCCCTTATTTCCTTGAGAGGTTGAAGTGTTCTTGGTGTGTTCTTGAAGGTTTTGAGGAGAAAGAGGAGTAGATCAAGAAGAGGAGAAGGAGATCAGCCATCTTTGTGTCATTTCAACATTTTCCTTGAGGTATATCTCGTTTTTCCCCTGTTTCTATGCTTAGGATTTCATTTGGGACACTCTTGAGCAATTCTTCAAGCTTGTTTGTGCTTAATGTTTCGTAATAAGTGGATTAACCTTTAGATCTAGGCAAGATTGAGCTCCAGGAGCTCAGATCTGTGAGCTTTATGGCCCCATGTGGCTTGTTCATCCTAGATCTACCCTTTTGAGGCATTTTGCACCCTAAAATCCACATTAGTGAATATCCACACGTAAAGTTGGAAACTTTACGTGTGATTTGTGTCCTAGAAGTCCAGATCTATGAATGGCATGGACTGAAATCGAGTAAATCTGTGTATTTGGTGGATGCATGGCGACGACTCGGCGAGTCGTATAGGTGACTCGGCGAGTCTGGTCGCGAGTCACCGATTTGGTCCCTTCATGATGTGTCGAGTTGAGCCGTGAGTCACAGGGGGTGACTCGGTGAGTTGGGAGCTGAACTCACCCATGTTAGGACTCGGCGAGTCAATGCCCTGACTCGGCGAGTCCAAGGCAATCTTCATAGATCAAGAACAGACTCGGCGAGTTGTTCATACAACTCGGCGAGTCTTAGCATAAAGTGTTCTTCGGATGAAGATGAACTCGACGAGTTGTTCATACAACTCGGCGAGTAGGATGAAGGAGTTGAATGACAGTTAGAAGGTGAACTCGTCGAGTCATAGCCCGACTCGACGAGTAGAACCAGGGACCCAGGACAATGGTTTGCTAGGGACTCGGCGAGTGGTGATCCACTCGGCGAGTCGGGTCAACTGAAAGTTGACTCTAGCATTGGCTTAGAGCTAGACCAGGGGTAAAATGGTCATTTTACCTAAAGGACAGTTAGCAGTGTTTGATTGAGTATGTTGTGGGAATTGCAGCCGGAGGACTCCCGGAGCAGCAGCAGTCAGTTAGTTCCCGATCAGTTCAGCAGCTACTTTGAGGTGAGTTACCTTGCAGTAGTGGTGGGTCTAAGGCCACATGGCCGGCCCACCAGTAGGAGATGTATGATAGATGAGTGTCTTTGTGATATCATCTAGGTTTGCTATTACCTGTTATGTTACATGCTATCATGATACGTTCTATGCAATAGTAGTAGAGTTCGGTTGTTAGGACCGTTGGGTAGTCAGACACCCCAGAATTATCTGACTGTATGTGATGGTATGCTTGTATGTTGGTCTATTATGTTATGCGATAGAGGTAGCGGGAGGGGACCAGTCCCCGAGGATCGGTTGTTAGGACCGATGGGTAGTCAGCACCCCAGAATGGCTTGACATGGGTAGTCAGCACCCCATAATGGCTTGACACAGGTAAGACGGCACCCCAGAATGGCCGTATGGGTAGGTCGGCACCCCAGAATGGCCGTACCGGGTAGTCAGGCACCCCAGAATAGCCTGGCAGTACGTATGATATGTGTTTGTATGGTATGTGGTACGTTGGGGGAACTCATTAAGCTTTGTGCTTACGTTTACAGTTTTGTTTTCAGGTACCTCTGCATCGAAGGGGAAGGAGCCGGCGCGGTAGCGGCACGTCATACACACACTCTTCGGTTTCCGCATTTACGAGATTTACTGGGATTGTACTCTGATATTTTGATGGGATGTATGGTTTGACCTTTTAGAACATGGTTACGATGTGTTATGGTGTGATCAAACAATGTTTTTATTTATTAATGTTTTCTAAAGTAATATTTTAAAATGAAATTTTCGGACGTAAAAATTGGGTCGTTACAATCATGGTTGTTATCATGGAGCAGATGATTTCTTACCTCTCTTGTCGTGCACTTTGATGGTATCTTTCCATCAAATCTTGGTGCATTTCATAAGGGTAGAAATCTTCATAAGACTTTTGGAGTTCAGCTGTCATTGTGGCCAACATGATGCAAGCCACCTTGGTCGCATCTCTTTCATGAGTATGAAAGTCAGCGATCTCCTGGGGAGTTGCAGTGGACTCATCAATTTCCTTAAGCTCCTTGTCAAGGACATATTCTTTGTCCTCGTAGCGGGTTATCATCCTGATGTTTCTGATCTACTCATTGAAGTTGGATCCATCAAAGGTAACTTTCCCACACAAACTCATAAGAATAAAGGAGCCATTAGGATTCGAGCCAGAAGCAGCATTGTTTGAAGACATCTGAAAGAAGAGAACAAGTTTAGTATAGATCTATGAGAGTCCTTAATAAAACACCCAAATGTAATATTAAGGCTAGGATCCAATCACAATATATTATAACTTAGAAGAGGTATGCCGTAATCCAAGCTATAACATATTTGAAAGGTAGGTGAATGACGATTCACCAATTTCCACCACGAAAACCGAAATATTAGATATTAGGTTTTATGATTGGTTCTTAGAAATTCCTAGATCCTTTGAGATTCAATGAACTTTTCAAAGGCATGTTTCAATCTCGAGTGTGCCCTCCAAGTTTTGTGACTAGGATACCGAGGATCACAAAACGAGGTGTGAAGTAACCATGCAAATCACTTGGTACCCTTAAAGTTTATCACTCAATCGATGTGCCGGTAAACCACACACACTCCACCGATACTATAATAAACCTTAAGTCACCCTTTACCTACCTTGTTAAGTCCAAGTTAGTGTGCCGGTTAACCACACACGCTCCACCAACGACTTAGACAAAGTGTAAAGTGTAATTTCATGGATTAGCACCTTATTCACATTTTCCTAAAGTAACTAAGATTGGGAATTTAATAAAACATTTAGTTACTTTATTATATTCATCATACTTTGAATGAGAATTTATAAGTCCTTGTCTTACCCGTTCGGCTAACGACCCTCCACCAGTCAAGCAAGCGGTGGGTGAGAGTAGACACCATTAAGTCACCATTTTATAGGCAACAACCTTATACCCACCTTATAGACCGGCTTCGTGAATGAGGCGTACTAGCGGTAAGACGACTTTGTTCTTATACATATATATATATATATATATATATATATATATATATATATATATATATATAATTATTAAATCATCATATAAGTATAAGGGTTGAATTTTAACTTTTAAAATTCTAGGGGTTGGAACTAAAGTTTTAACTTAACTTTACTTGTTCCAAAACTTGAGGGCAAGTTTTGTAACTTTCAAAACTTTTCATTTCTTGTAACTTATGAGTTTAATAGAGTAATAAAATGAAGACTCTTCATTTTTCTAACTCTTGTGTTTGTTTTTAATGGTTTTAATTCAAGTGTGACTCTTGGTTTTCCATAACTTGAGGACAAGTTATGGACTCCATTAAAACACATTATGATCAAGAATTAATCTACCACATAGGTTACAAATAATTCCTATGATCATCTAAAACATCATAAGAACAAGAACATGAATATGAACTTATTCATAAATCAAAAATTACACTTAAAACTTTGTAATTTTGATAACTAGTTGTTGTAAATGAATTATCAAGGACATTACACCATCTAAAACAAGTTTTCCAAGTACCAAAAAGTTTAGGGTAATGTTTCTAATTCATTTCCAGCAACTAAAGTCGAAATTCTGCAACCAGTCGACCCTACTCGCCGAGTGCATGAACTTACTCGCCGAGTTGGTTGAAGATACACGTGAACTCGACGAGTCCATCTTATGGACTCGACGAGTCCATTCGTAGACAGCAAGATTTTCGACTTTTTTCAACTTTTAAGCACAAATAAAAGGCAAACAAACCTGGCTCTGATACCACTGATGGGTTTTGAGCATTCTAACACTTCCTAAGTGTACATGCAACCCTAATAACCTTGGATCTATGTTTGTCTAATTATCATGCAAAGTTGAATTCCAAGGCTATATTCCTATCTAGCATACATGAGGAACAATTTTAACTTGAATGAAGGATAGAATAACTTACCTTGTTGTCGCTTGTGTTCCTTGAAACCTTGTGAGCCTAGCACCCCAAGTGTGATGCCTCAAATGCTTCACACAACACCAAATGCTCTTGGAAAACTTATGAGAGAACACACACTTCTTGAAATCGGCCAAGCCCTCTTGTTTCCTTAGTGTAGCCGATTTTGGTGGAGAATATGATTCTTATATAGTGTTGACACATCTAGGGTTACACCATGTAAACCCTAATGTGTCATGACTCTTCATTTCCATGACCCATGGGTTTGTAACTCCCATGGAGCATCCTATGGGTAGAACCCAACTTGATAATCCACGGAGCCTCTTAGCCCACTATACAAGATATGGATGATTTACATAATCAACCCATATATTTAATTAGTTCTCTTTTGACCACTTAATTAATTCTAAATTAATTATTGATCAAACTAATCAAATAATATTATTAATATATTAGAACTTATAATATATTAATAATCTCCAAGTGTTATTTCTCTCATTTAGTCTATCCAATTGCATGGTGCCATGCAACCCAAATGGACCATGCTGGGTCGGGTTAAGTACATACTAGAAATAGTTATGGACTTAGACACCTTATCCAACAGGTTCCACAAGGACAAATATGTTGCAACATATAGTCAGAACATACAACCTGTAGGTGGAAGAAAATTGTAGGTAGTGACTAAATTTATTAAACCATTACCACCCCCAGTTAGAAGGATGTATGGAAGACCTAAAGTAAATAGAGTGAAGCATACTTCTGAATCATAAGATGCCAAATACCCCTCACAAAGGTTAAAGGTTCCTAGGATTGTGAGGTGTGGAAAGTGCCAACAAATTGGGCATAATAAGATTTAATGCATAAATGATGAGGTACCTAAGCCTCATGTCCCAAAAAGGAAGATTGGAAGACCTAGGAAATATGGGGGAGGCCAACCTATCTTTGACCAGTTCCCTCAAATTGGGCCTGCTATACCAAGAAGGGATGCTACTCCTCCCCCTAGTTTTAGAATATGGTAATCAAGTAGGTGGTCCTGATGTTAGTCCTATGAAACGGACTAAGATGATTGCAAGGAGAGGAGGGAAAACTAAAGTGTCTGGATCAAGGAACAAAACACCAAAGAAAATACCTAATGGTAAGAAACATAAGAGTCAAGCAAATGAGGATGTGTCCCTAACCTGTGATGAGGATTTTGATGATCTTTTTACCCATACACCTAATGGTAAGAAACCTATGAGTCAAGCAAAAGAGGATGTTTAGGAACAAGAGAATGACAATGAGGTGAAGGTGAATGAAAGACTTACTTTAAAGGAGTTGTTGTTGTCTAGATATACACATGTTGATGCAGTGACTGCTATGAAAGAGGTATATATTGTTACACTATTTTTGGATTTCATATTGTAGCATTACTAACTAGTTTGCCATATTGTAGGTTTATGGAGAAGTTGAGGAAAAATAGATTGAAGAAAGAGAGGCCGAGGAAGAAGAAGTTGAAGAGAGAGAGAGAGAGAGAGAGAGGTTAAGGAACAAGATATTGAAGAAAGAGAGGCTGAGGCAGAAGAAGTTGAAGAGAGAGAGGTTGAAGAAGAAGAAGTTCAAGGTAGAGAGGTTGAGGAAGAAGAAGTTGAAGGCAGAGTGGTTGAGGAAGAAGGAGTGGAAGAGAGAGAGGTTGGAGCAAGAGTGATACCCTTGGGTCATGGTTCTTACAATTTCCATTGGGAGAAAAAGAGGAAACCCTCTTAAAGAATTAGGAAACTGAAGCTCAGGAAAATGGTTGAAGATGCTGATGGTGGTGGTTCTTCCAAAACCCCTTCGGTTTTAGATTAAGAATGGACATTAGTAAATAGGTTGCCCTTTTTGTAAACTTCTAATTTTGGTACACTTGTCTTTTGGTAACAAGCTTTCAATTTCTGTCCATAATGTTTGATAGAATTGGAAGTTTGGTTCTAATTAGGTTACATGGTATGGTAGTGGTTTGTGGGAAGCTTTGTAACGTATATTCCCCTTGTTGGACTGTTAACTGACGTTGATGTTTGGGAAGCTTTGTAAACGGCATGGTATGATTGTTAAGTTATCAATATATATGCCTTGATCACTATAATTGTTGTTACCTTCTATGTTTTTGTTAGCTTGGTAAGTAGGTTAATACATATGTATGTGTTAAAGGACTTAATTGTAATTGTTGTTACCTTCTGTGATTTGGTTATTTTTATACATATGTATGTGTTAAAGGACTTAATACATTGTTATCATTAAGGCATAATAAGTTGTTGTCATTGTTATCTCTTACAAAATCAAAATATTACCATACATAACACATGCATATACTTACTATCTAATTTGACCATAATACCCTTACACCTAAGCTATTACTACTGTCATTCCACCTAAACTTAACTAATGCCCACAACTTCATAGTGCTTTAACCACAACATTGTGAGCCATAAACCCCATCACAATCACCACCACCAAAAGCATGACCATCATAACTAGCTCCACCTTCAACAGTTTTAAAATATCCACTTGAACTGCTTTGTTGTTCTTGGCCTCCTCCGAAAGCTTCAAAATCTCCATTCCAAATGCTTTATTGTTCTTAGCCTCCTTTAATTCCATATGGAACTTCCACATAATTTCCTTGTAGTAAGTGTTTGGTAGGGGTGGGTCAAGCTATAAAAAAAATTCGCATTTTTTTTGGAGTATTACACAAAAACAACTTCTTCATACTAGTTCAACAACGCCATAAAAAGTAGGAAACCGAATATTACCTGATAGTTTGGACACCCCCTGAATTTCCTCCATGGATTATCGACAATTTTGGAGATCGAGAATGTCGCAGGTTCATCACAATCGCATCTCAAATCTTCAAACCAATGATTCCTTAAGGCCCATTCTTTATACCCCTGTGTGTAGATGTTGGAGGAGCTTACCATCTTTTTGGTTTGACGTTGGAGAGAAGAATCGACCCAAAACCTAGCTAACAACTACCTCCAACGTTCGACTAAGCTATGCAACCTGCTGAAACCGACACTGTGCCCTTTTGCCATAATTCAATGAAAATATCATGGTCATAGTAAATGAAAAATTAAATTTAGGGCTTTTCCCAATTTAATGCCAAAACACGGGATTTTATTGATATAAATCCTATATTATAAAGCATACATATTTGAAGTCTTAAATATAAGTTGTAAAGCTTAATTTACAATCAAATAAAATATCTCTTAAGAAGTTATCTTAAAAACAACTTACTTACCAGCATGATGTAAAAAATCTTTACTTTAATAGTTGACAACCAGCTTCAAAATTTATTGACAACTTTCATTACACACATATTGCCACATATACTTTTAAATTTGTTTGATCCAATGGATGAAAATAATTGAAACACAATAAAATAGATCAAATGAATAGAAATACATTTAAACAAACACAAATGATGAATTTTATGTTACCTAGATTTTCACACAGATTTACAATGTATTTTCACTTCCTTTAACAAGCAAAAGATAAAACATTTTCTTTACTCCTCTTCTTCTTTTTCTCTCTCTTCAAAATTTTCTTCACACCTCATCATCTCTTTCCGGATGCTTTTCCCTTCCTTCCATACTTGGATTAACTTCAAGCAATTTATTGCTACTCCAACAAATACAACGGCGTTTGATTTTTGTAGGGATTAAAAAAATGGCTTTTAGCTTACATTCTTAAAAAAAAAGGCGTACTCCGATTAGGGATGTCAAAAACCCTCCGTGGGGCCCCGAACTCGTACGAGACTAAATTTTTAAAAAATCGGGAGCAAGAGCGGGAGCGGGGGCGTGAGCAAAATTAAACTCCGTTTATTTTCGGGACCGGGGTTAGGAGTTTGTATTTCCGTCTCGTACACCCGCGGGGGCCCCGGTTGTACAGTTATGTAAAAAATATATATTTAATATAAAATACATATACAAAATATATTTTCTAATTTTAGGTTTAGCTAGATTTTACTTTCCCGCTTCCAATTAATGGATATTGAACAGGTAGTTATTTGATCATATAATTTTGAACATGTAAGTATTTTATATTTGTAATATTGGATTTGTCGTATTTTATATTTATAAGATTGTTAGAATTGTCATTTTGTAATGTTGGATTTGTAATGTAGGATTTTTTATTTTTTTAGTTTCTAAAAGATTAGGTTTTAAGCTTTTAAAGTTAAAAATAATCTTTTTAGCCTAAACCAAAGTAGTTGTTCCGGAAAAAAAAAAATCAAATTTTAAGCCTATAAACTAGCGGAACGGAGGAGGGACTGGGAGTGATGGAGGTAACCGGAGGAGGGACCGGGGGCTATGTAAACGGGGGAGCTGGGGGCGGGACCGGGAGCGGAGGCACCAACTAATTTCGGGGGTGGGAGCGGGGCAACTATTTCCGCTCCCGTTTAATCCCGTTGACATCCCTAACTCCGACTTCATGAAGAATTTGCAGTTGTTGGTCTTCTTGGATCTGAACGAGCACAAGAAAAGTTGACAATCGAGCCGAACACAATATTATTTAATTCTTTTTTCATATTATATTTTAAATAGGGGAAAAGGTTGTTGTTTTCTTCCTATATTGATAGTTGTTGATGTTTCTCTTTTGAAGTGATTAATCATGAAATTGTTGGTTTATTTAAAAAAGATCATGGATGATCACATAAAAATGAAGTAATCGGTACCCTGTTGGCTGTTGCTCAATTATGTACATACACCACACGATTTCCATTTAAGTCATCTACTACGACCCATGATTTCCATTTAAGTCATGGGTTCTTATCTACATTTTTGTCCGTTCAATCTACAATTATATAAAGATTATAAGCTAAGCGAAGTAATTTTAATCTTCGTAATAACAAATTACTGATAGGTTAAAACCATATTAGAGCAAGATTGCAAAGAAAATTCAAAAAATAAATAACAAACTAACTAATCAAGAAAAAAGTTAGAGAAATTTAAGGGGTTAAACATTTTAAAGTTTTTACACCCTTTAGTAAATATAACAGGTTACTAACACTTATAAGTATAAAATTTTTAAACAAATCAAAATACCTCAAAGATTAGAAAAAACACCTCACGGTATGACTAGAGATTGAAATGGGCTGCTTGGGGTAACAATTGAGAGGTAGTAGCGGCGATGATTTTTAAATGCTTCACCTTCCTCTCGATCTGTTACGAAACATAACACGATATAACCACCACACCTAGGGCTGTAAACGAACCAAACGAACATGAACAAGGTCTTGTTCGTTTACGAACACGAACAAGGTCTTGTTCATGTTCGTTCGTTTAAGTTAGCCGAACAACAAACGAACACGAACGGATAAATGAACATGATTTTCTTGTTCATGTTCGTTCGTTTAACAAATTACTTTGTTCATGTTCGTTCATTTATGTTCGTGAACATGCTAAACGAACATAAACGAACAAACATAAACGAACAAAGATAAAAAAAAAACACAATTGAACATATATGAACATAAACGAACATATAATATAGCAATATAATGAAAATTAATTGAATATAGATGAATATAAATAAACTTAAACGAACGAACATAAACGAACGTAAACAAATATCATAAACGAACGTTCACGAACATAAATGAACGAACGAGACCATTGTTCATGTTCGTTCGTTTAACTAAACGAACGATAATTTTTGTTCATGTTTGTTCATTTATTAAATAAACGAACATAAACGAACTTCCCGCCGAACAGTTCACGAACGGTTCGCCGAACGTTCAGTTCGTTTACAGCCCTAACCACACCATCTTATACGATCCACCATAAACACCGTACAACACCACATAAACACTGCACAACACACACACACACACATATATATATATACATATATATATATATATATATATATATATATATATATATATATATATATATATATTCAGGTTTATTTGAGACCATTTTAATTTTGTGAGACTGTTAGACCAAATCTAAAAATAATTTTAAAATGCAAAATAAATGGAAAAAATCCAAAAACTCTTTTTTTATATATTATTTTCGGAACTTGAATTAACTCAAAAAAATAAAAATAAAAAAAATAAAATCCCGTTTTTTTTTTTTTTTTTTTTTGAAAAATCGGTGAAATATTCTAATAGAATATTACATTGACATATTCTAAAAAATAATTTTAAAATGCAAAATAAATGGAAAAATCTAATATTTTTTTAAATATTATTTTCGGAACTTGAATTAACTAAAAAAAATTAAAAAAATTAAAAAAATCCCCTTTTTTTTTGAAAAATACGTGAAATATTCTAATAGAATATTACACTGTACATATTCTAAAAAATAATTTTAAAACGCAAAATAAATGGAAAAATCCAAAAATTCTTTTTTTAATTATTATTTTCGGAACTTAAATTAATTTAAAAAAAAAATAAAAAAAAAAATACGTCTCACGGTCTCACAAAATTAGGTCGTCTCACATGAACCTAACCCTATATATATATATATATATATATATATATATATATATATATATATATATATATATATATATATATAATATTTTTTTTAAGTTATAAAAGCAAGATAAATTTGCTTTTACATTTTTTAATAAATTCGTTGAAAAAATTAAACAATCGATTTTTTTTATATTTATTTATTTTTAATTTTTTTTTGATTTTTTTTTTCAAAGTTTGTTTTAACTTAATTATATCAAAAGTTGCAATTTTTAAGAATATAAAATCAAAAAAAATGTTTGTGATATCTAAGTTTTTTTTCTTTTTATGTATTTTTATAATTTTAGGTTTTTTGTTTTCACGATGAAACCAGACACCACGCAGTCATGCTCCATGTAGAAAATGATTGCTGCTCAAATTGAAATGAGAGCACTTCAAGAGCGTCAAACTACACCGGAGAGGCGTTTAAGGGAATCAGAATCCCATATGGCATGACCCAGTACTAGGGGCTGTACTAGTCGAAAGTAGGGTTTACACTACTTCTATTTTCTATTTTAATGTAAATTAAGATATTGAATGTATATACTACTTTTTACTATATATACAAAACCGTATATCAATAAAATGATAAGCATTTTACTTTAATAGGAGTTATTATAATTTTCATGAACATCTTATTTCATAAATTTTGGTTATAGTCTAAGTCTATGTTCTAGTGTTATTTTTCATGTTTTTCAGTACGACTGCGAAAAATTCATTTTCGGTAGGTCGGTTGGATGTCGATGTTTTCCCAGTATTGTGGTATATTGTAAACCTGCTTTAAGGTCAAGTTTTCCAGACTATATGTACTTAATATACCAATACAATCGACATGCATTTTCATACTCTTTGAAAAATAACCACTCAAATTCATATTATCTTGTTGCAAGTTGTACTTGTAATAGACTTCTATTACCAATTCCTTACAAAATTCATATTGAACTAAGTATTTTAGTTCATAAATATCATATTCATGATCACTCTTGATATCATACCATCTTTTTCATCTTTTAACTTTTTATAGTGAAAGATGCCTCCACGGAGAAACCCAAGACATGTCAATGTTAATGAAGCGCCAACACCACCTCCTCAATTTGACATTACCACGTTTCAGGCGGCGGTCACTGCAGTTGTGGCAGCTGCTATGTCACATATAAACACGACTGGCGCAAATGGATAAGGGAATGGCGCACACCCATCCAATCAGAGTGAAAATTAAGGGCACCATCGGGAGTCTAACTACAAGGAATATTCAAACGCCAAACCTAGGACCTTTAATGGGACTGGGGGAGTTATGGCGTTAAGGAAATGGATTGAGAAAATAGTGGCAGTCTTCGAAATCTGCTCCTGTCCGGAAAGCAGCAAGGTTAAATTCGCTACTTGTACTTTTGCTGATAGAGCCCTGACATGGTGGAACGGCCATGTTAAGTCACTGACTTTGGTAGTGGCTAACTCCATAAG